CGGCCTTTTGGGAACAAAACAAATAACACAGTCAAACAACAGAAGATGCAGCCGTAATAATAATAATACTAATAGTACTACAGCAGCTCACGTGATCTGAAGGCGCCTTCCGGTCATATTGTAACAGACTGACATGTTCTGTGAGCGAAGTGACACATAAAGAGTTTGTGCTTAAAGGAATTATTTCCCCCTTACATTACTTTTACTTTTATACTTTAAGTAGTTTTGAAACCAGTACTTTTATACTTTTACTTAAGTAGAACGCTTGAGTTGATAGTTCAACTTCTACAGAAGTCTTTTTAAACCCGAGTATCTACACTTGTACTTGAGTAATGAATGTGAATACTTTTGACACCTCTGGTTACATCATCACATTTATGTTGTAGTTAATTTCCTCATCCTCAACTGTAGGAGGCGCCAGTGAGGCAGAATCACCCTGTTTGACAGCCCTTTGTCCTGATCGGGGTTAACAACAGTAATAATAATGCATACTAGGTAAACATGTCCTGTTCACTTGTTGTACACGTGGTTGTTTGCTTGTGGGCAGTTTGTGCTTTAAAGCAGCTGAGAAGGACCTCTGGTGCCTCTCTGGAGACAAAGAGCAGAGACGCTGGTATTCTGTTGGACATTTTAATGAAGCTTACAATCGACTTTTCATTCAACCTTTATTTGAAATTAAAAATGCTGAAAAAGATTAAAGCATAAAGCTCAAAGCTCATTGTGTAATAGAATAATGTACATATAAAATTGTGTAATATAATAAAGCACATATAACATTGTGTAATAGAATAAAGCGTAGCAGGTGAACATGAACGTGTGAACATATAAACAGCAGTTGCAGAAGGCGCTGCTGCTTCACAGGAGGAAACATTCAGTCTGTATAAAGACTGAAGCATCTTTGTCCCGTTTAAAGTGAAACACAAGCGTTTCTGCACTGAAGCCTCTTAAAGCGTCTGTTGCCGTGGACAACGGCGTCATGGCGTCTGACATCAGGGACTCTGTGGTGGCTTCACGTCGTCCATCAGTCCAGTGAGACGGAGGCAGAAGGCTCTCCAACGTTTACGTAGTTCACCGAGTCGTCTCCTTCAACCACCTCATCCATCTGCTGTAAACAACAACAACAACAACAACACAACTGTGCTGAGATGCTGAAGGACACGGAGCAGATGGGTTTGTAGGAACAAAGAGCAGCTCCAGAGGAAGCGCTGGGGTTTGTGGGGATCCTCAGTGAGAAGTGGAGAACAGTTGTTACAAACACTTTACTGACGCTACGATTCTCTGATTAAACTCACCATGATTTCTTCCATCCGGGTTTCTTTCCCTGAAACACAAGAAAAGACTCCAGTTTAGTTTTGAGGGTAAAATGGAGGTTCATCAAAACCTTTTGGCTTCATATGTGAATGTTGTCACCTTTAGTTCTTGTCCAGATGTTGACTGTAACAACACTTATTAAAAGTGCTGCTGAACCCAAACACACAACGAAGGTCCTCAACAAGGCTGAAACAGAGTGAAACACAGTCAGAGGGGTGATGATCAATAGATGATCTCTGATATCATGATCAATAGATGATCTCTGATAGATGATCAATAGATGATCTCTGATAGATGATCAATAGAAGATCCCTGATAGATGGTCAATAGATGATCTCTGATAGATGATCAATAGATGATCTCTGATAGATGAATCACCTGAATGAATAAAATAGCAAAGTGAATCAAACTGTACAGTTAGAAAAGAACTCAAGTATCTGACGTCATGATTAAAGAGTGATGTGATTTAAAATGATCAAATATGAACAAACACTCTGATCCTCTGAGAGGTTTGTGACTGTCTCTACCTGCAGTCACTGGTTTCTTGTCTTCAGGTGGACTTTTGGTCGTCTTCTTCTCAGGTGTCTCATTCACTGGAGGTTTGTTAGTCGTCTTTGTTACAAAAGCACCTTAATGAATAAATAACAAAATGCAACAAACTGTAGAGTAAGAATTAGTATCTGACGTCATGATTAAAGAACAATGTGGTTGAAGAGGTGAAATATGAACAAATCCTTTGAGTGATCGTCAACTGTTCCTAACTAGTATTCATTGAGCTCTGTGGAAAAGGTCACAGGGTCAAGGATAGATGGTTAGGATGGTTCATGAGGAGTTAGGAAAGGACAACCTCAGTGTTTAGTGAATCCGTCTCCACTGTCACTGAGCTACGTAATCAAGACGTGACGGGAGACGCTTGTTAGTGACGTCAGTCTGCAGCGGTGAAACTCTACTTTCTCTGAATATACAACCTTTTCATTTGTATGTGTAAGTGTTTCAACTAGTATGTATCGTGTTTTATAGATGAGCATGCATAGATTTACAGAGTGTGTGAGTGTGAGAGTGTCTCAGTAATTAAGTCATAAACGGTTCTTCATAGAATATTCTCACCTGTTTTATCACTTGAGGGAGAAAACTGCATCACTTTGTCTCCATCGGTCACTTCACACTTCAAATGAAGTGAAGCTTGATGTGTAAAAGAAGTGAGAAGTCTTAAAGGACAGAGAGGCGGAGCAGAGAGACGGTGATGTCTTCACTTCTGTGTTGTCTTTGTCCACATCTTGATCACCATTCATCCACTTCACTGTGCGTTTACATCGTTCATACGTCCACACAGAGCATCTTAACGTCACCTCGTCTCTGTTCGTCTCTTCAGTCACTGGTGGAGACGGAGACATTATGAGAGAAGAAGAGGAACTTAAATACTAAAATTATTATTATAATGTTTCAGCATATTAATCTAAATGTTTATAAACATTATGATGTAAATACTCACTGGAAACAACAGACAGAAGAACCTCAGCATCTTTATATTGTCCTCCTGGTCTGACCTGTCTGCAGAGATAAAGACCAACATCTCCACGTGTGACCTTCTTCATAACCAGAGAACAGTTCTGTGAAACACTCAGTCTGTCTGATTCAGCTTTGGCTTCTTCAATCTGCCCGTTTGTAACCAGAACTACTGCTTGTGTGCTTCTTAAATAAGTAAAGAACCACACAGTAGAGTCACAGTTGTTCTGGTCCTCAGTCACACTGTTACAAGGCAAAGTGACTTCATCTCCATCTCTGACAGTGAGACGTTGTCTTGTTGCTGCTTCTAAGAAGATGAGAGAGAAGTAAAAGGAACAAGGAGAAATAAAACATGACTTTTAGTGTCAGTGTGAAGATCATTGTAGACACAACAACAGTTTACAAATGTGCCTCATTGTTGGTTTCTAAGAGTTCATTAAACTCACGATTCACCTGGATGGAAACAAACAGACGACTTGTGTGTCGTCTTTAAATGAAGCTTTGCTCATAAATAACATGAATATATTAGTAAAGGATCTTTCTAGTGTTTCTGTAGTCATACACACATTCTATGTGTTCTTACCTGTAAACTGAAGCATCAGAATCAGCAACAAAGAGGTTTGAATCCCTCTGAATTCAGCCATGGTTCCTCTCCGTCTCTCGTCTCTCTGCTTCTTCCGTCTTAAAGACAAATGATGAATCTACTTCCTCTTGTTGATAAAGAGTCACTTCCTCGTCCCTCTCGTCTCTCATACGTCATTAAATGCTTTATTTCCCATGATGCATTTGTGAGGCCGACATACAAGCGAACCAATGAGGGCCATCGTGTTCAGTCCCAGAGTGAAAGAAGAAGAAGAAGACGGAGGAAGTCAAAGGTGTGAAAACTGCTGCTAAATATAAATGTTTGCTGCACAGCAGCTTGTTTTCTTAAGACGGTTTTACTCAGAAAAGAAACCCGATTTACGGTGATGTTTGACAGCATGAACACACAGGTCAAAGGTCAAAGGCTTTCTAAAGACATGGAAACTCTTTGTCTCCTGTTTGGACGATGGAGCTGATGTTCAGCTCCCACTTGAGGTGATGAAGGAGACCAGGAGACGGAAGGAATCCACAGTGGTGACGGGGGAGTCACACGGGGTGATGGGGGAGGGCGGGACTTCCTGAGATCCACAACCATCTCCACTGTCTTCACAGCGTTGAGCTCCAGGTTGTTCTGGCTGCACCACGACACCAGACCTGTAGGTGGACTCGTCCCCACCAGAAATCAGTCCAATGAGGGTGGAGGAGCTTGACGGACTGGTGGCTGGAGGTGCAGCTGTTGGTGCACAGGGAGAAGAGCAGAGGGGACAGAACGCAGCGTTGGGGGGAACCGGTGCTGATGGTCCGAGAGGCTGAGACATGTTTCCCCAGCTTCACCTGCTGCTTCCTATCGGACAGGAAGTCAGTGATCCACTTGCAGGTGGAGTCGAGCACGTGCAGCTGGGGGACTTTGTCCTGCAGCAGAGACGGGACGATGGTGTTGAAAGTCCACAAACAGGATCCTGGCGTAGGTTCCTGGGGAGTCCAGATGCTGGAGGATGAAGTGGACGCCATGTTGACTGCGTCACTGAACCGCAGGGGGTCTAGAAGGGGTCGGTAGAGGTTTTGAGGTGGACTTCTCCGGGCGGAGGTCGCTCGTTGGGTGGGGGGCTTTGGCTTGTAGCTGGTGGTCCGTCTGAGGCCTCTCCAGACGTGTTAGAGAGTCGTTAGCAGACTCTTTATACAAGTCCCCGTCCCCCGTCACTTGTCATCGCCTGAAGGAAATACAAAATGGAATCGAGCAGTTAGAAAAGAGAAAGAAGAGTAACTGTATCATTATAATCATTCAGTCAGTGGGTTCCTCATTTCATCTTTGTGTGTTTTTCTGTGAACTGGTCGACGTGGCGCAGGGGTAGAGAGGGTGTGCAGGGAACTGCAAGGTTGGTGGTTTGAGCCCCGGCTGCTCCATGTTGAAGTGTCCCTGAGCAAGAC